TATATTTATATATAAGTTGCCAATTAATAGAAATCCAAATAAGCCCATAAATTAATAGCATGTCTAGTGAGTCTTTATGGGCTTATTTGGATTTCTGTTCACTGGCAACTTTTTAATTAATTAAAAATATCCAATGTCTAATTAAACTATTTAACTTAACACAACATTTGGAAACTTTGACCCATAAAGTATGCACAGTTCTGTTCTTTTTCCTTTAAAGCTATACATTGTCATGATTTAGACCCAGAATGATTAGGGTTTTGTTAAATTGTACAAAAACTATGATCAATAGATAGGTCTTTATTATTTTTATTTGAGTTTTTTAAATATTTCCTTGACGTCTTTACAATACAAATATTGCTGCATTCAGCACATGACAGAAAATACACAAACTTGTAACTGGCTTGTCTATTTTTGTTCAAGCTGAGCAAAATACAAAAATTAAAGAAATTGTATTAAAGGCAAATTTGATTGTTAAAAATAGATGTTTGAAATTTAAGGCATTATGTTTGTTTAAAAAATATTTTGAACCTGACAATGTCCCCTTAATAGCATCTAGTGTTAGGAGTTTTTAATATTTCAGACTACAGTATTCTAACCGTTCTAGAACTTGCTAGGTTGATGAAGCATTCATAACAGCTGCTCCCTATATGATGTACAGCTATGGAGAGTAGTAGGTATGTAGAAGCACTTTAACTGAGTTTCCAAATTCTGTTCCAGGTTTGCTGCTTCTGGTGATGTACAGCGTCACATTATTATTCACTCTGGAGAAAAACCTCATTTGTGTGATATCTGTGGTAGAGGTATGCTAGAATTAATTTTTTCTGTCTTTAGGGTTTATGATTGAAATGTGAGTAGTCTTCTTAATCTTAGTGTCTGTTACATTCTTCCAGGGTTTAGTAACTTTAGTAACTTAAAGGAACACAAAAAGACCCATACAGCAGATAAAGTATTCACCTGCGATGAGTGTGGAAAGTCATTTAACATGCAACGGAAGTTAGTAAAGCACAGAATTAGGCACACAGGAGAAAGACCATACAGCTGTTCAGCATGTGGTAAGTAAGGTTTACAATACATACATATTTATTTTTAAAAACTAGTGGAAATTCACCTTATTCACTGAATGACCTGGAAATAGACAAAGTAAAACTGGATTGAAATATCCTTTCCTGGATCTCTTCTATTTGGCATAGCTGATGGTTAAAATAATTTTCAGCTTCGTTTATTACTCATTTACACCATCTCAGACATAGGACTTTAACTTTATTGATGGCACAAATGTTAACTTTTTCAACAAAGTGCCCTGGTATTATCACCTATGCAGTAGTTATTTTTTCTTTAAGCCTAAAACAGTGCTAGGCTGAGCACAAATGAGATCACAAGTGAATTTTGAATAGAGAATACAGAAAGGAATCTGGAAGAGTGAATGTTGTTTAAAGTGGTGAATCTGTTTCTAGACCCTATAGGCTGGTTTTCAACAGCAATATTGATCATAGCTGTTTCATAAGTTTGATTGACTTTCTGGTTATCACCAGGACATGCTCCCTCCAAAAGAAGTATGTTGAAATAGCAGCCTTAGTGCTTTTGTCCTAAACATTTGGTTGCAACATTCAAATGAGATCTCACTGAATCCTAGTGAAAGCTGGAAGCAACCTTTAGTCCTTCACTTTCATTTGTAAAGGGAAGCTCTTTTGACTTATAAAGCATAACTGGGTCAACATCTCATAGCTGAGAATATTAGTTCTCAAATTTTATCGGATGGATCCCACTTCCAGGTAGTCTGCAAAGCTGCTGTCTTTGATAGCGATTTATCTTTGCTTGTGAGTTTACAGAGGTTTTATTGATCATCTAATTTCTCACACCCCAAGCACCTCTCAGCATCCTGCAATGGTATTTAATTATCTGCCTGTGACTATTGTTGCTTTTGGTGTAAGTTCAGTCATGTTCAAATGTTCAAAGAACACCAACATTACAGAGGGATAGCAAACACATAGGATAAAAACACCTAACTGCAGTATGTCTTGGCATGGGGGTCTTGAGGCAACAAGGTGAGTCTTAACTACTGTAAAGCCTTTCACCCAGTCAGAGGAAAGAAACAGAAGATACAAATTAGAGAAAGTGTAAACAAGCAGTTTCTCCCATCACATTAAAATAGGCTTACTTTAAACTTGTCCCTTTTTGATATTGTTCTGATTAGTTTTTCTGATAGCCAGTTCATCTGGTTTCCACAGAGATGGTGTGAAATCTAGACTGAGAGCAAAAATGGCCCACCATATGCAAAAATTCAACACCCGCTGACTCAATGATAGTGTAGCATTATTGGCTATGCAGAAAAGCCTGAGCTTTGTAAAAGTAGAGATTAATATAAACAGTTGTATGCAAAAGTGTAATGCCAAAAAAAAAGAATATAGTCAACTGAATGTCTAGTAGATCAATTGCAATTTCCTAAGCTTTCAAATAACGTATTTTATTTTCATAGTACCTGTCCACATAAAATACAGCATTAAAACAATCATTAATATGGAAAAACCGTGTAAAATCAAATTATACTATTTTGAAGAATGGAAAATCTCAAAATCGCTATGTACAATTAAAATAGCAATTTTAGAAATTAGAAACACCCTTTTTTCCTGGTGCACTATGACATTGGTATCATTGTCCTAATTAAGTCATTTACTATATTGCTGTCTATAGTTTTATAAGAGTTATTTTACCTCTGGCTTCTGTTTATTCGGAAAATATATAAATACTGCATCTTAAGAAGTTGATAGTTTTTCATGGTACCTGAATGCTCCTAGCAATAATAAAATTGCAACACTGAAAATTATTCTATAGCCAAAATGTGTTTTACGTTTACATTATCCATGCAGCTAAGTTTTTATAACAGTACCTATCCCTGTAGTATCTGAGAATAGTACCTCTGTACTAAGGGAATTATTGTAAGGTGTATTTGAGGTGGTGCAGTTCTTTTATGAAAAATGTATTTTGAAATGTCATCAACATGCCATGTTCCTCAGACTGTTACTGTAGGGATCAAAGGGATTCAGTTTAGCAAAGACAGAGACAAACTGAGAAAAGTGGTTGCTACTAATGCTTGTCACAGCATTCCAGTGCTAGTGGGTATTTCTGATACTATAGACTGAAAACGGAAGGATATGGAAATACAGGCGAGCAAGTCGGGTCAAGAAGAAGAAAAGTACAAATAATTGAGTTTTAAAAATAGAAGGAACAAGTCTAAGACTGTTCTAGACAGAGAATGTGACACATTAGGAGTTGATCTGTAGTTTTAGCTGTTGATATTCCCTCTAATCAAACATGTTCATGACACTCATATTGAGAGGAACAAAATCTAAAAGTATTACTTCTGTCTCTCAGGAAAATGTTTTGCAGGGTCTGGTGACCTACGCAGACATGTACGGACTCATACAGGAGAAAAGCCCTATACCTGCGAGACTTGTAACAAATGCTTCACTCGTTCTGCTGTTCTGCGGCGGCACAAGAAAATGCACTGTAAGTCCAGTGATGAGGGACCAAATACACTAGAGGAATTTACTCAGGCAATTGAAACTTCTGATCTTGAGAAATCTCAGGGTTCCGACTCGTTTGCCCAAGAAATGTCTGTTACTTTGTTACCAGTATCTGTTAAATTTCCTGTTCGTCCAGCTGGAAATTCAGCTAATGAATTTGATAGTTCTGCAGGATCTTATTGCAAGTTGCGGTCAATGATTCAACACCATGAGTCTACAATCCAACAGAAATTGAGTCTGGATTCCGCTGAACTCCCAAAACCTCAGACACAACAAACTCCTCAGCCATCTTTCACTTACACAGAGGTAGATGTATCACCTGCAGAAGAACCCCTACAATCTGATAATATTTCTATGATTCGTTCATCAATGACAACCTTGGATGGTCATTGTGGTGACCCCCTGGGCAATCGTGCATCTTCTGCTGCATATAGGAGTAATGAAGGACCATTCTTTTCCAGTATGACCCTGTGGGGCTTAGCTATGAAGACCTTGCAGAATGAAAGCGAGTTGGATCAATGAGGGTTCATGTTACCGATTCACAACCTTTTAGGGAAATTGTTTTAATTTACCAGACTAAGACCACATATTCCAGCTAGTGCTCACTACCTCCCATTTAACTGTGCATGCTCTATCCTGCAATGGAACTTGAGTTGTTCCAAGGCCCAGTTTCATTATTAAAGTGCACAAAGGTGAATAGAGCGTGTAAGCAAAACCAGTACTGAGGTTTGTTAGGGTAAGGTGTAGGAAAAGAATTGTGTTCCAATCACAAGAGGCTGACGTACCAATAATGGAATGCTTATCAGTAAGATCATTGGTTTATATGACTTCTTATATTTAAGTAATGTGACATATTAAAACTGATTGTCAAATACTGTACAATATTTGTCAGTAGTGCAAAGTAATTGTATATCTAGAAACTTTATTTTTACAATAAAAGCCTTTTCTAGTATTTTATAAAATATTTTGCACAGAAGTTTTATCTGTAGAATGTAGATCAAAGTAAAGAAATGCTAATTTAATTTGAATAAAGGGAAGTTATTTTACGTAACATCTTAATTGTTCAGTGTGTTGCATCTTTACTAATTCAGAAAAGTGCAATGAAAATTGTTGGTAGCTATTTCAACAGTATAATTCCATTTATTCTAGATGGCTCTTGCATTGTTGCTAAAGGTACTATTAAGACAAGCAGAGCTGCACTACAGTACGTGGTCAGTCCACCAACAGACTGTCATGTTTGTTGGTAAATTAATGGAAAATGTTGGCAAATTATTGGGATTAATGTACTCGAAGGAGGTTGTCCAGAGGCATTAGTGTTTGGCTGGTGATTTTCATTTTCTGTATCTCTTTGGTTCTGCCTCACAGACTGGGTTGCTGCAGTCAAACAAGTGTTACAGGCCAAGCAAGTTTACAAACCATTTAAGTGTGTTTTCAGGCTTTGTGCCAAAACGTCTTTACAGATATTAAAGCCTTTGAAATTTAAATGACTTCCACTAATCTTGTTTCTTTTGAAGTTTTTTCGGTGTCTGGACAATCTTCTAAACTAGAGGGCATACTGTTGATTCTTTATAAGGAGCTTCTGGATTTGTGCATGGGATGATAGCTCTCAGCACTGATGTCCCCTAGCCAATGTGATAACCTTGCTTCTTGTTAGGCTTTGGTACCACGCTTGTGTGGAAAATATTTAGATATTTCCATTTAAGACTGCATCATTTTGACACAGCGCCATGTGTCAAACCAGAAAAAAACTCCTAAAACAACTGATTGCATGAAAGTTAAGACCAAAAGGCCTCGTTAGTAGTCCGAGGAGTTGCTGCCAGTGTTCTATGGCAGTGAAGGAGAACTGTATCTTCTCATCAATAAATGATGACATTGCTGTTCCTATTTGGCTTTATATGCAGCTAGGAACCCACCTATGGTCTAGGTATCAGTTTATACAGTATCTTTATTTTATACCAGAAAAAAGTAATTAGAAGGACTCAGCTTCCCTTGTTTTATTTTCATCTTTGATATTGTGATCCTGTTGGAAGTAGAAAAATGTTATCACCATGCAAGAATAGGATGTGTCCATTAGCTATTGTTTTAGACTCTCTGGAAACTCGGGCAGACATCTCTGCATCTGTTTCACTCTGTCATAAACATACAGTTAAGGGTTAATTTGTCTTTTACCTGTAAAGGGTTAAGAAGCTCACATAACCTAGCTGACACCTGACCAGAAGGACCAATAAGGGGACAAGATACTTTCAAATCTGGGAGGGGGGAAAAAGCCGTTGTTG